AGCTGTAAGCCAACATGTGGTTCATCCTGTGGAACATCATGCATCCCAAGCTGCAGCCCACCATGTGGCCCATCCTGTGGACCATCATGCACCCCCAGCTGTAAGCCAACATGTGGTTCATCCTGTGGAACATCATGCATCCCAAGCTGCAGCCCACCATGTGGCCCATCCTGTGGACCATCATGCACCCCCAGCTGTAAGCCAACATGTGGTTCATCCTGTGGAACATCATGCATCCCAAGCTGCAGCCCACCATGTGGCCCATCCTGTGGACCATCATGCACCCCCAGCTGTAAGCCAACATGTGGTTCATCCTGTGGAACATCATGCATTCCAACCTGTAAACCAACATGTGGTTCATCCTGTGGAACATCATGCACCCCAAGCTGTAAGCCAACATGTGGTTCATCCTGGGGAAGGTGGTTCATCCTGTGGAACATCACGCATTCCAACCTGTAAGCCAGCATGTGGGTCATCCTGGGGAACATCATGCATCCCAAGCTGCAGCCCACCATGTGGTTCATCCTGTGGAACATCATGCATTCCAACCTGTAAGCCAGCATGTGGGTCATCCTGGGGAACATCATGCACCCCAAGCTGTAAGCCAACATGTGGTTCATCCTGTGGACCATCATGCACCCCAGGCTGTAAGCCAACATGTGGTTCATCCTGTGGACCATCATACACCCCAGGCTGTAAGCCAGCATGTGGGTCATCCTGGGGAACATCATGCACCCCAAGCTGTAAGCCAACATGTGGTTCATCCTGGGGAACATCTTGCATTCCAAGCTGCAGGTCACCATGTGGTCCATCCTGGGGAACATCATGTACCCTAAGCTGTAAGCCAGCATGTGGTCCATCCTGTGGAACATCGTGCACCTCTAGCTGCAAGCCGCCCTTCAGCCCATGCCGTGGATGCATCTGTGGCCCAAACTGTGAATGCACCTCTGACCGATCCTGTGGATGCATCCCATGTTACAGACCACCAACCTGTGGACCTTCATGCACCCCAACCTGCAAACCAGCCTGTGGTCCATCCTGGGGAACATCATGCACCCCGAGCTGCAAGACCCCATGCGGTCCATCTACTGGGACATCATGCTTTTCATCTGATGGAGGAGCATGTGTGCCAACTAGCGCTGCGTCCGCCCCTCTGTCCTCTGCCTCATCCTGTGGTGCTCAAAGTGGGAAGACATGGGCTGCCAAAAGTGGGAACCTCTGAAACCATAAATGGAAATAAGTCAGCAGGAAGTTGGGAACTCCTGGCAACACACTGAGCTGTTCGAATTTCCAACAAAACAAATGTAATCTAAAGCCTGCAATTTAACAAAACTTGAGTTCTTGAATAAATCATACCATTTGGGCTCATCAGCACAACAGTTTTTATTTGGCTTCATTTATTCTGTCGCACTTCCCACAGTTCTCTCCCTCTTGTTGCTCCTGATTCTGGTAGTCCTGGAGATGGTGAGGATACCTGAAGCCTCCTTCCTCAGTGACCCCAAACCTCATCTAAGTCTCCTTACAGTTGAGCAGAAATTCTCCACAGGCCTTGAAGCAGGGCAGTTCCTCCATGAGGGCGTGAGGAGGTGTCATCCTGACCTCAAACACAGGTTTCCCTGGGGTTATTCCACTCCTGCCAGTCTCCATGGCCAGAAGCAGTGAGTTTGGATTTGGGCATAATGTTTGAAGGGTTGTTCGTTGGTCTACCTCGTGTGTATTGGTGTGAAGATGGCTGAATCTCTCTCCTCCCCGCCTATAAGAAAATCCCTCCTTTGCCATCTGTTCTACCTTAGTTACCATGATGGGTATCCCCGTCACTGCTTCTTGTATTCATAAAGTCAAGAAATAGGTTCGCGAAGGCTTTCATGGCTGGGATCTAATGGTTGTTGTGGGTTTTCCGGGCTTTTTGGCCATGTTCTGAAGGTTGTTCTTCCTAATGTTTCGCCAGTCTCTGTGGCCGGCATCTTCAGAGGACACCCTCTGAAGATGCCGACCACATAAAACTATACGCCCACAACAAGGCACACTAATCACCCATCTACAGAAAAGGACAAAAGCCCATCTCACAGCTATAAATACTGCACTCCCAAGCCAACTACACCAGAGCACAGAGTGCTGTCCTCTGAAGATGCCAGGCCAAACTACCCAGAAAACCCACAACAACCTCAAGAAATAGGTCTTATTTTTTGAGCAAAAGGAGGAGGGAAAGGGAGGGAAGGAATGGAAGGGGCCTAATTTTTACCCAAGAGCTAAACCTTTAGCATTTCTTTAATTTCCACAAAACCATAGCACACCTCTTGAATATCTACCTGGCATTTGGTTCTTTCTTTTCTTCTCTACCACATTGTTAGTCGTTGCTACAACTTTTACAAAGGTAAACTAATAAAGGCATTCTGGTTTCTCCTGCTCCTTAAAAAATTTCAAGGTCTATTCTGAATAGGAAGGAAATGAAGACATCTCAAGTTCTGGAGAATTCGTACAAAAACGATACTAATTTATAGAATATATTTATACCCGCTCTCCTGTAGGTTCCTGGTTAGGACTTCAAAGCCGCAGACATTTTTTGGGGGAAACTATTAAGAAACAACACAATGAAATGTGTGTGTGTGTCCTTAGACCCCTTGACCTCTCATCAGTCTTTGACATGGCGTGATTTATCCCTTTGGAGACAGAATTGCGCCAGTTTTCCCTCATAACTGACTTTGCAAATCTGGTAGGATGGATCACGGACACGTCAACTTGCTTAGTGGCCGATGGAAACACAAGGTAGATGCTTGTTTCTCCTTGTAACCTGGTCCTTAATAAACTAAAGAATAATAATCGTGTGCTGTCAAGTCAGTTCTGACTTGTGGAGTCCCTTTTCTGGGTTTCCTAAGTACACTCAGAAGTGTATGACCCTTCCCTTCCTCTAGGGGGAGCCCTAAGACAGTGCAGCTTGCCCAAGGCCACCCAGGCTGGCTCTACTTATTGGAGGCCCAGTGGGGGAATCGAACTCCCAACCATACTTAAACCACTGAGCTCTCCAGGCAGCTAACTTGGCCCTTAGGAATAATAAACCCTTCTGTGCCCCACACACCCAGCAAGAGGCTCTCCTTTGAAAAGCACCAGATCATAGAGCTGCTTTCTCGTACCAGACTACGAAGCCGCGCCCTGCCTATTATCTCCGGAAAAAAGATCTGTCGGTCTTCTTGAAGGCATGCTCAGACTGGACTGTGCCACCAGGGGGCAGCTCTGCCCTTGACTATAGTCGCATAACTGCCATCTGATGATATTGTCATTCGTACACAAAAAAAGACGAAAAGAAAAACAATTTTTCCAATAGATGGATTGTTCATTTAAAAAAAAAACAAAAGAAAAAGCCCGATACCTTGAAAGGGGGTGAGTGCTCCAACACTGGAAGCATTCAAGAGAAACTTAGGCAATCACCTGGCAGATCTCCTTTAATTTGCTTTCCTGCATTGAGGAGGGTGTTGGATCCCATGGCCTTATAGCCCCCATCCAACTTCACTATTCTATGATTCAATGATCCAAATACTCCTTTGACCTATCTTTCTCCTCTCAATTTACAGTGGTGCCTCGCTAGACAGTTACCCCGCATGACAGTTTTCTCTGCGCTAGGCATCGACTTTTTGCAATCGCTATAGCGATTCGCAAAACAGTGATTCCTATGGGGGAATTTCACTGGACAATGTTTGGTCCCTGCTTCACAAATGGATTTTCGGTAGACGATGATTTTGACAGCTCCCTCCGCGCTCCCAAAACAGGTGTTTTCGGGACCTAAGCTTCGCAAGATAGCGATTTAAACAGCTGATCGGCGGTTCGCAAAGCGGCTTTCCTATGGCCAATCTTCGCTAGACAACAACGATCCTTCCCCATTGGAACTCATTAAACAGGTTTCAATGCATTCCAATGGGGAAATGCTTTTCGCTAGACAATGATTTTGCTAAACAGCAATTTCAGTGGAATGGATTATCATCGTCTAGTGAGGCACCACTGTACTACTTCATGCTTTGAGAGACGTAGTCCCAAAGCAGATGTTTTCAGGGGGCAGGTTCTCTATCAGAATTTATGTAAACCTGGTCTGGACTAAATCCCCATCCTCATCATAGAACTGTAGAACTGGAAGGTACCCTATGGGTCATCCAAGGAGGCAGAGCGGGGAATCAAACTCCTGACTCCTGGTTCTACAGCCAGTTGCCTAACCCCCGAACTATCTCTGTCCACAGCTCATAAAAATATATATACTTCAAGCAGAAGGATCCAGGTTGTATTACTAGTACACTTCAGAAGGCGTATCTGGAAAAATACAGACCTGAAATCTAAATTAATATTTCACTTTCCTTAAAAACTCTTTTAGGGTCATTAATAGGTAAAGGTAAAGGTTCCCCTTGACAATTTTTGTCCAGTTGTGTTCGACTCTAGAGGGCGGTGCTCATCCCCGTTTCCAAGCCATAGAGCCAGCGTTTTTGTCCAAAGACAATCTTCCATAGTCACATGGCCAGTGCGACTTAGACACGGAACACTGTTACCTTCCCACCAAGGTGGTCCCTATTTATCTACTTGCATTTGTGTGCTTTTGAACCGCTAGGTTGGCGGTAGCTGGGACAAGCGACAGGCGCTCACTCGGCCACGTGGATTCGATCTTACAATTGCTTGGTCTTCTGACCCTGCAGCACAGGCTTCTGTGGTTTAGCCCACAGTGCCACCACGTCCCTAGGGTTATTAATACTATACGTCAGTTGTGACTTGACCATACATGACAACAGTCATTCCAAGAAATCTGGAAGCCGGAATCCTGACAGCTTATATGGAATACTAAAGTGATAAACCATGCTTTCTGGAGGAACATAAAGGAGTAGAAAATCAGCAAATGAAGTGAGACAAGAGAAATGTCTTACTGGCGGTCAGAAAAATACTGAAAATATTGATGCAGCCTATAGTACATTAAGAAATATAAATACTCCATTTAGAACAGCTCTCTCTCTCTTTCTCCCCCTCCATCTCTCTCTCTGTCTCTCTCTGTTTTGTAGTTGACAATGTGATGATCACACTGTTGTCATTAATACTATACGTCAGTTGTGACTTGACCATACATGACAACAGTCATTCCAAGAAATCTGGAAGCCGGAATCCTGACGGTCATTAATACTATAAGTCAGTTGTGACTTGACCACACATGACACTTGTCACAATCCAAGAAATCTGGAAGCCGGAATCCTGACAGCTTATATGGAATACTAAAGTGATAAACCATGCTTTCTGGAGGAACATAAAGGAGTGGAAAATCAGCAAATGAAGTGAGACAAGAGAAATGTCTTACTGATGGTCAGAAAAATACTGAAAATATCGATGCAGCCTATAGTGCATTAAGAAATATAAATACTCCATTTAGAACAGCTCTCTCTCTCTTTCTCCCCATCCATCTCTCTCTCTCTCTGTCTCTCTCTGTTACTATACGTCAGTTGTGACTTGACCATACATGACAACAGTCATTCCAAGAAATCTGGAAGCCGGAATCCTGACAGCTTATATGGAATACTAAAGTGATAAACCATGCTTTCTGGAGGAACATAAAGGAGTGGAAAATCAGCAAATGAAGTGAGACAAGAGAAATGTCTTACTGATGGTCAGAAAAATACTGAAAATATCGATGCAGCCTATAGTGCATTAAGAAATATAAATACTCCATTTAGAACAGCTCTCTCTCTCTTTCTCCCCCTCCATCTCTCTCTCTGTCTCTCTCTGTTTTGTAGTTGACAATGTGATGATCACACTGTTGTCACAACAGAAATGGATGATATGCTAGCTATTTCAGAAGCTGCTGAGTTAGGCAGTCAGCTCTGGAAACTAACCAAAAAATGTCGAGTCTGCCGATTTACAGAGTTAACTCCCGTCTTCTTGAAATCTGAGCACCTCATGGGTGGATCTCCATTGCAGATTTTCCTTTTAATTGTCAAGAAGATGGTAATGAACTAGAGTTATCCAAACATCATCAGAATGCGTATGCAATTTGTAGCACACTAACTGGATCTTATTTATATTGAAATCTTGGGCATTTATTCTTTCTTGCCATGAGACTTTTCCAAAATGAAGGAAGTCATCATCCTTGGAATGTGTCTACTGAAGCAATGTATGATCCAAGTGATGGAGTGGGTCAGATTATGAATTAGATCATTTGCTTGATAAGCCTATTATGAATTAATTTGCTTTCA